ATACTTACAACTTTCAGATTTTGGAAGTGCACCTACACTATATATATATATGTATATTCTATATAAACAATAATAATTACTGAACATTTTTATTGGCTCATTATATAATTATAATAGTATATATTACATTATTTATATTATGGATATTATAGGTAAAACTTTTTTTTTTAAATAATATAGTTATTCGTATAATTTGTTAACATCACTTGAAAATAGTCTTATATTGTTATTAACACGTCATGTAAAGGTAATATTATAGGTATTGAGCTGGTATATGTACAATATTAATTTCTTGCATTCAAATAATTTGTAATGTGGACATATTTTATAATTATTGTGGAAAATGTATGTTTATTCTTGGCCAAACACAGTTGTACAGGAATCATCGTGAGACTACGAATTCTAGACCTGCAGTGTACATAATAATACCTCGCTATATGTAATAGATTATAATAAAGTACCTAGGTATATATATATTATATATATTTAGTGTACATTATTATATATATTATACAGTTATTATCGTCGTCATAAACTATTCATGGCAATATGATAATTGTTTGGTAACCACATTGTATTTACCTAAATAAAAATCAGCTATACAATTATATATATATATATAACATCTTGCAATTATTCATCATTATAATACGAGTAATTATGTAGCTATTATACGATACTATAAATAATATTATAATAACTATATACCTACATGTAACTACTGCAGTCCCTATATAGGTTTATGTATACATTTGCAGGGGTTGAGAAGTTCGCAACCCTCATTATTATGATAAGTAGGAAAAATTCATATTTATATACATATAATCTCTGAAAATGTGTCCCATATACCTATCGATAGCCTGCGATAAGTCGTGATTTATACAATTCCCAGGTTTTCTAAATAATATACTTTATTTATATATATTTATATATGTACATGGTCTGCCATGCCGTACAATATTATAGGATTTAAAATGTGTACCATCATTTATTAAGTAGCATTTTGTAAAACTACGCCGGAACTACCTCGGTAATACAGCTGCAGGCGAGCGGAGACTAACGACTCGGTTATCATGTGCAAACGTGCGAGTACCATTTGGATTACATGTCATGCGTGCATACAGGGTGATTTACCAAGCATCCTCATTCCCTTCCTCCACAGTTGCCACGCTTTAATAATGTCTTTATTCAAATTTTGAATATAAGTACTAAACACCATATTTTAAAATTAGGCCAC